CCATCCATCATCTATCATCTACCTATCTACCTATCTTCTATCAGTCTGTCTATCTATCTATCTATCTATCTATCTATCTATCTATCTATCTAAATTCTATTCACTGCAGTCAATGACTTGTAGCATACAAATGGGTAGTAAATTACATATTTATGTTATCAGTCAAGGAAGGTCATAAATATTGATCTGATTCCATATGAAGCCAAGAGAAACTCACTGATCACTCCTCATTCATCATAGGGTTTTCATGGAATTCTTACTATGGGCTAGTGAATACATTAACTTAAACATTTCTTTAATGGTGTATGCGTGTTGCCTTTTCACAGATTGTTTATATATGCCAGACAAGCTATCATCACTAATAAATGCTGCTATGTTTGCTTTTGAGACCAGAGAGGAAGAGTTTGTTAAGAATTTGTTATTTTATTTATTGTCACTATGCTTATTTATTAGTCTTTCCTAGTCTGAATACCTAACGTAATTTCTAACCAGGTATTTTGAAATAGTTTTCTATTAGCATTTCTTGATTTCTCAAGGATTTACTTCAAGATTGTTTTTTTTAAGGTTGAAGAGTTCATTAAAAGAGAGTAGTATTAAAACAATGGCGTTTGCCCTTTAACAAGAAAGGCAATTTAATCAAACCATTAAATTAAATGGAAGTAAGAAAGACAAGAGACACTATATAATGTATTACTTCTACCTTTGAATATTCATAGGGTGAGCCTGGAGAAGCTGGAAACCCTGGGCCCCCTGGAGAAGGTGGCACAACGGTAAGTTTTTCTTCCAGTAGGTTTTGTAGAAGTGACTGTACTGTAGCTTCTCTATAGTACTTTGAGATAGTAAAATGTTCTGTTTCTTTCTGTCAGAATGTACAGATAATTTCTTTATGACACCCTTAAATGTGCCAGGAAGGGTTTCTTATTAAAATTAGTGTTTCCACGCAGAGATCCTTAGTGATGAAATGAGTTCAATTTGCCACTTGATCTACACAGCAAAAATCTGATGCAGACTTTTTTTAAAATTTCAAGATCAAAACAAAGAGCAATGTCTGTTGGTCAATTTGTGTGATATCTGTCTGTATTTTCTACTTGTTTTTCTGACTCATATCACCTCTGAGCCTTTTTTTAAAAAAAATATTGATCTTGAGAACTGGCATTAGACTCATTGGCTATCATAATCTTGGCTTATTTGCCCAAACCCTTATTCCAGTTATTTGGTCAGACTTTTCAATTAGAGCCATGGTGGCACAGTGGTTAGAATGCAGTATCTCAGGCTATTTCTACTGACTGCCAGCAGTTCAATTTTCACCGGCTGAAGATTGACTCATCCTTCCATCCATCCAAGGTCTGTAAAATGAGGACCCGAATTGTTGGGGGCAATATGCTGACTCTGTAGACCGCTTAGAGAGGGCTGTAAAACATTGTGAAACGGTATATAAGTCTAAGTGCTATTACTACTTCTAACTTTTGACATACAGCTCTAAATTTATGTTCCATTCACATTTTCCACACAATAACACTCATACTTCATGGGAGAGACCTATTGTGGTCCCATTCTTCTTGAGGTAGCAGTTTTTATTAATCATAGAACAGGACTCTTAAATATTAGCACCATACTTCTACATACTACATACATTCAGAAAATCTTTTCGCTCAGTGATTTATCATGAAGAATTCTACCATTAATTTACAAATCATTTGCACTTCAGTTCATTTTCAAACCAACCCAGAAATGAATTTCTTTTCTGATCAGATCCTAATAGGAAATTTTGGAGTGCTTTCTTCATTTCTCAGCTCAAAATATATTGCTTCAAAGATGCTTCCAATAAAAACATGATTGATATTTGTTTATAGATTATTATTATTTGGTTACCCACTACTTGTTTTAAGCAATCTATATATCCATTAAAAACCCCTCTTTTTTGCAGGGTCCAAAAGGTGAAAGAGGTGAAAAAGGTGAATCTGGGCCACCTGGAGCAGCAGGACCTCCTGGACTTAAAGGACCTCCAGGTGATGATGGTCCAAAGGGAAATCCGGTGAGTGAAGATACTATTCCCCTCCCCCCAAAAAATATTAAGATTTAATAATAAGTAATCGAGTCCTATTTCATGTCTTTACTGTATTTTCTCAATTCTCTATAAAACAATTCTGAGTGCTGTCAGGAAGATCTGTTGTATACAGAGTTGCTGTATCAGCGAGAAGGGTGGCATAGAAATTTAATAAATTGATAAATAACAAATATTTTCCTAAATTTCTAAACTGGTCACTCTTGTTGGATTTATGCAAGTTGTATTCCAAACTATCTTGTGAGCATTGTATGAATTATTTTATTTATGTTTTAGAAGCTGTATCTTCTCAGAGTCTATGTATCAATAAAAATGTCTTATTTGCAATTACTTTTTCTTGATGGTCGTGTTTTTAATTTCTGCAGGGCCCTGTTGGGTTCCCTGGTGATCCTGGACCCCCTGGAGAACCAGGTCCAGCCGTAAGTATTTTGAAAATAAAACTGCTTTACCAGGTGAAGTGAAACTGTCACTGGCTTCATTCGATATTGGATACAGACTTTGATTCTGAGAAATTTACTTTGTTGCATCTCTTTGCTCTGAGCAAAACACTGCTTTGTGGAACTGAAATTGAAAGTTTCTTTCCTCAGCTCCTTTCCAGGATTCGGTGTAATGCTTGTCTAAATATTATTTTCATATTCTGTACAATGGGTGAGGCACAGAGACTTTCTTGATACCAACTTGTGGTTGCGTTGGCTTAGTGGAAAATTGAATCTTGGTCTCCTTGTTGCAGTACAGTATCCTGATTATTACATTGAACTGGATTTTGGGGAAAGTTATCAAGTATAAAAACATTGCAGTTCTACAGCTAAGGTGAAGCAGAAGTTTCTATGAGAGGCTCTTTTGGACAATAAGCAAATCACAGTTATTTAGACAAACACAGAATACTATATAGAATTAATATTGCTGTCTGTCACAGTTCTTAAAAAGAAAACCTTCTTTCTGAGTAGAACGTACAATTCAAAAAGGAGATAAATTAGATGGGTGTTATTTTCTTTCATCCTCTTTCTTTTCTTTCTTTCTCTTTCTATCTCCCTAGGGAACTGATGGCACAGGAGGGGAAAAAGGTGACGATGGCGATCCGGGCCAACCCGTAAGTAATATCTTTGCAAGAATAATCCTTTTGACTGCATTGTATTAATTGATTGTATTGTAATAATTGAGGATGTCAGCAATTGCATTCCAATCACATCAGGATTGTGTGAAAAAGACAGAAAGCTTCTCTCTGAAACAACTCATATTGAATCTGTGTCTGCTTATTTACTTTCCCTATTTATCCATGAGGAAAATGGATAAAAACAGGTAGTTCTCAACTTGTGATCAAAATTGGGATTGGAACCTCCATCACTAAGTATTGCAGTCATTAAGTGTGTCCTCACATGACTGTTTCCAATTTTACAACCTTTTTTTGTCACAGTCATTAAGCAAATTTGCTTCCCCCATTGACTTTCCTTGTCAGAAGCTGCCAGGAAGTCACAAATGGCGACCATGTGAGTCCAGGATGGTGCACATATATATGACAGTTGCATATCACATATTGTGGTGGTCGTATGTGCAAGGACTGGTTGCACGTCACTTTTTCAGCACCATCGTGACTTTCACAGTCACTAAACAAATGGTTGTAACTCAAAGATTATCTGTCAGTATTTAAGTAAGAAGTTGCCATTAATACAACCTTCGGTAGTTTCCTAAATGGGAGACCTTTCATATTTCTGAATAAGTCAAGTCCATGAACTTATATTTTCCTAATATACACTGCTGGTTTTCTTATCCAGTATCAGTTGATGGCTCATGCTTTGATTGCCGTGTGTGTGTGTGTATGTGTGTGTGCGTGTGAGTGGGCATGCATGTGTATATATAAAATCATTCACAGGATCTTTAAACAATCACATTTGAAAATGGGTAATTTGGATATTTTTCTCTCATTTTAGGGGCCGCCAGGTCCTTCTGGTGAAGCAGGTCCCCCTGGCCCTCCTGGAAAGAGAGTAAGTCATATTTCTCTATACATGACTTTTCTGTGTGTGGGGGGTCACTGTTGTCATCCTTATTTTTTGTTTCAACATGGTTGGATTTAGAGGGGAGGCTATCAATTTAGGTGGATAGATGGAACAATTTAGGCAGACTCTTTCATTTGTATTGACCCAAGGGCTTATTAATATGCGGGAAAGCTCCCTTTTTTTCCCTTTTAACAGTTTTCACCATCTGTTACTAAGATTCTTCTGTCGGCCAGATTGCCATGCTTTTAGTATAGTAAATTTCATCTGACTTGTAACACCATGCACAATCTATTTCACACTTCACTACATTGCCTCCCAACACAGGCAGAGGTGCTGGAGGAATTTTTTTTTTTTTTGGTATCTGAAAATCTGGCAACTTTCACATTTATACACATAATCCAGCTATTCAGCTATCTTGCCACATTTTGCACTTCTTTGAACAACTTGACAATTTAAATTTATCCAAATCATAATTAAAATACATGAAACACATATTTTGAGCATTGTTTTTGACAATGTAAGCTTGATGCAGATACAAATTATGAAACCACATAAAAGTAACCTGAACAAGAAATAAGCAGAAGGAAAAATTCCTAAAGAAAACCTACCTATAGCAGGTTTTCACCCGATATTCTTGCATTCCTGAGAAGTAAAATAGATCGTCGAACACATGGCAAATTGTAGTCAAAAAGCTTTTGAACCTTGTTCAGCATACGGAATGCATAGCCGTGACAATTATATCTGTTTGTCTATTAGGCAAAATATAATCTATTCCATGTTCTTTCCCTCCTCCCCCAATACAGTTCCAAGAAATATACAGTATATAGGCATTACATGCCACCAATCACAGCAAATTAATGGAACACAATTAGCAAATTCATGAACAGGTGTTCTGTTGTTTTATTTAGCCAGGAGAGCTTCCCTTTAGCATTTCTAATGTAACAAAAATCAACTTAATCTAGGTGCACTTTTGTGGAAAACTCTTATATTTGATATATTTTCAAAGGCCCAGATTACGGGGTACTAAATTAGGTGCTGCTTTGTGTCATTTGTTTACGTTTACTACGAACATAGGTTTGTGATTAATTTTGAAAATGGGTGGTTTCCATGCATGCTGATTAAAATTGGGTATTCATTTTGGGAAAAGGTACTCAGAAGAGCCTCTCTGGTGCCTCCATCACAGTAACGGCACCTAACTAAAGTTCATCAGCAGGGATGATAATAAATAATCATTTGATATTATAACAGTATCAACGGTACTTTGAAAAGTGATTTGTTTCTTTCTATTATATATGGAGAATAATCCAATTTTATATTTTAGGATACCCCGGTGTAAATTAATGATTATTTAGCTCCTCCTGCTCCATCTTCTTTTTTTCTTCCTAGATCTGACATACCAAAAAAGAAAAAAAAGGCAGTTGCTTGTTTAGTGAATGGATGTTCATTTCAGTTAAGGGAACAGGCTTTGATCCATTTAATTAGTATATTAATCAACAGAAACTTTAGCTGATTTATCTATGGGGAAAATTCTAACAAGACAATGGGAGGGGAACAAGTTTTAATCAACAGGTTATGACATTAGGGCATGTTCTCTTTTTTTAAGCATTGTTTGGTTCTGGTGCTTTGCCAACCCAGGGTAACAATTAAAATCTAATACATAATGCCTCTTTCTCCTACACTGAGAATAGTTTTCATTTGATTGTAACATAAATTATCATATTTCTGCACAATGTGATGCTCAAAGGCCTCCTGGTGGTAAAATGAACTTAGCTGATGCCGTCAGCATCTGCCTTCTTTGTATAATGCTTGAGCATTCCTGATTATGCCAAATGTTAATCACACACATACAGTGCAGACCAAACATGTTACTGGGACATTTGTCCCAATCATATATATTTTTTTTGCCATGGTTGCTGAGTAGCTGATTCCCTGCATGGACCACTTCATGGCTTGTATGTATTTCCCTTTCAATGGTCCTCTGAAAGATAATGAGATACCAGAAACTACCAAGTCTCTTGCCAATGTTCTTAATGCAAAGCAGACCATTGAGATGCCACAATATTTTATTATCTCCAGTAGTGATAATACATGACCTCTTATGTTTTATCTGCGAGCTTTGTCTTTTTGTGTGTGTTGAAATTGCCAGAGGCAGTACACACTGAAAGTAATATCTCACATTTAAAACAAAGAGTGCTTTGCTTTGATGAAACTTCAAAGGATCTCCTTGAAGCATCTTCACAATGCAACAATGGTCATCTTACTTCAAAAACTCTTAAAAACCTAATCATATTGTTCCAGTCTGGCCTGCTTGTATTTTACTCTGCCTTCTCCTTAGAGGAACTATGGACGAAAGATAAGTGAAATCTTTTCAACAAGCCCACAGGTGCTTTTTCAAAAGGTAGCTGAACTTTCTTTGTTTTTCCTTGAAGATGTTTTCACTTCTCATCCATGAACTGATGACGCTTTCTGAATGAGAAGAGAAACATCTTCAAGCAAAAACAAAGAAAGTCCAGTTGTCTTTTGAAAAAAACACCTTTGAGACTTACATGACCAGCTGACTGAGAATCTCCATTGACTTTTCAACAAGCATTGCAGGAGAAAACCAAGAGAAAAGAAAGGACCAAATCCTAATCCAGATTCCCCTCAATATACAGTAAAACTCTTCCAATTTAGGCAATTTCAGCAAAGGCTGAAGGCAATCACTCCTTCAGACAATGCTCTTGAAGAAGGCTCAGAGAAGCTTCAATAGTTCAATAGGATTGGCCTTAGGTGTTTCAAGGACAGGGAAACAGCTTTGTGGAGGTGAATCAATTTATTTTTATTTTTTATTTATTTATTTGATTTGTCAATTGCTTACAAGATAATAGGTATAAGTATATACATAGTTATGAATACATGAAATGGGTACATATAAGAAAAAGAAACAATAGGACAGGGACGGTAGGCACGTTGGTGCGCTTATGCACGCCCCCTAATTGTCTTCCTTATTTCAGTAAACAAATCAGCCTGCACCATTTCATTGAAGTGAATCTTTGTTGTTTCATATAGACGTAAATGTTTCTGCACTGGTGATTTAAAGCATTACACAGCTATTGCTGTGACAATAGAAAGCGTGATTTCTTTAATGATATATTGCCACAACAATGGCTGGATGACATTATAAATTGCTAGTGGGAAAATGATCATGGATGCATGGTAATTGTTACTATGGAGCACAAAACTTAATTACAAGAACAATAAGAGGGAGAATACATACAAGAAGAGAACACTTTAAAGGGCCATTAAGAGAGGCATATTATCTTTCTACTAAAACTCTTGAGGAAAGCCACAAATTTTTAGGTGAAAAAAGCAGGAAGAATAAACATTTGCTTAATTTACCATTGTTTTCTGATTTTTCAAAGCACAAGCTGTAATTAAAAGCTTTAAAATGAGTCAGGGTATTACATTAAGTTTAGATTCTATTTTAATTGCTAGGCCTGTTCTACAGTTAAAATCCCTGTCCAAATTGAAACAAATAAATGTCTTCCACCTTCGGCCACAAAGTGAAGAACAAAGAGGTTCTACAGTCATTGTTTATTTATTTATTTATTTTTATTTGTCAATTGCTTACAAGATAATAGGTATAAGTAAAAACATAGTTATGAATACATGGATACTATAAGAAACAATAAGACAGGGATGGTAGGCATGTTGGTGCGCTTATGCACGCCCCCTACAGACCTCTTAGGAAAGAGGTGAGGTCAATTGTAGATAGTCTAAGGTTAAAGTTTTTGGGGTTTGGGGAAAAAACACAGAGTCAGGTAGAGTATTCCAGACATTGACCACTCTGTTGCTGAAGTCGTATTTCCTGCAATCAAGTTTGGTGTGATTAACCTTGAGTTTGTATCTATTATGTGCTCTTGTGTTGTTATGGTTGAAGCTGAAGTATTAATTGACAGGTAGGACATTGTGATGTATGATTTTATATACCATACTTAGATCGGACCGAAGGCGGCGTAGTTCTAGATTTTCTAGGTCTAGAATTTCGAGTGGTGGCATAAGGTATTCTGCAACAAGTAGAGGAGTGGAGAATTCTTCTTGTGAAATATTTCTGGACTTTCTCAACTGTGTTAATATCAGATGCGTAATGTGGGTTCCAGACTGATGAGTTGTATTCGAATATTGGTCTAGAAAATGTTTTGTATGCTCTAGTTATTAATGTAATATTACCAGAGCATTATACATTGTTCATAGCTTTACTACACAAGCTAAGATTTGACTTCGTAAACTGAGGCACTAGAATTGTAAAATAATAAGTTGCCATGCCTGATGCATGTCAGGTTGCCAGATGTGCGCTTCATTCTTGTGTGATATCTTTATTTGCAAAAGTTGTTTTCATCATTGATATTCATTATCCTCTGAGGCTTTGGCAAGGATGAATGGAGCTTCTTGTTGAATGTATACTGTGTATGATTTTAATTGGATTCACCATTTTGTTCGTTACATTCTTTGTTGTTTGATAGTATTTTAAAGTTTTGCTCTTATATTTTGATAAAAAAAGATTGTGTGTGTCCCCAAGCCAGAGAAGATGAGATTGCCATAAAGGAAATTCAGATTTTTTTTCTAGCTTGATTAATTAATAATGTTGCTCATTGCTAATATTTTCTCATATTTATAGCCAATATAATCTCACTTCTCACTAGACTAGAGGAACAAATCAGGCTATTGGGTAATCGGATAAGTAGTATCAATAGCAGTGTCATATAACAAGGAAAAAGTTAATATTAGGATCTTCCTTCCCACTATATCTTGCAGGACATTTGAAGACTACTGCTAACATTTCAAAATGACCGGCAGTGCTGTCGGTTTGCAGGGGAGTCAGGAAGCAAATGTTTTTTGAGATCTTCATGCAGTTGATGTGAACATATATTGAGCTTAATTTACAGTCAAAAGGTGACTAATGTAATGTAAATACATTAATTAATATAAATTACATTATTTGGGTCATT